TCCAGGTGCTCCTCTGGTTCAGCCACCTGTGATATCTACACCAAATGTGGTGTCATCAGTCAGTTACAGTGTGGTGGGCTCATGCATATTTACAATTTGCAAATTATGCCTGTGTAGCTCTTAGTGTAGCTGTTTCTTTGTCTTTCTCCTTTTCTTCCTTCACTAATGATTCAAAACGCTTACATGCCTAGCATCACAGGGCTGTATTCTATGCTTGCCATTTGCCTTTGTACACCAATTAGGTCTTTGTAATTTAAATGATGTTTTATTTGCTGATTTGGAAGCATCCTCGTTGGTAGAATGAGGTTTTCTTCATCCTGCAACTGTTCTTTGATATAATGATTTATTAAGGTACTAGGAGAAATATTGATCCTGCTAATAGCTTCTGCCTTGCCACATAATGCCTTACATTTTACTTACTGAAAGGGCCATATTCCTTTTCTCATCATCTGATTGACCATAAATGTTTTGGCCTTTCCCCAGCAATTATCACACTTACCAAAGCAGTGGGTAAACGTCAAGTATTTATAGACTAATTAGAGAAGTCAACATGTCCAAATCACGTGCTTTACATAATACAAAGAGCCATTGGACAGCACTTGGAAATTAGGGAGTGGTTCTATACGGGTCAAAAACAAATTAGCAAATTTGGAGGAGTTATGTATGTATTATTGATTAGGACTGTCTTTTGGGGAATTAGTATGTAGAGTTATATGCTGTACCTGTGATTTATTAGTGGCATTTATGTTTACATTTTATCGGTAATTTCCACTGTGTTCTTTGTCTATCCTAACCCCTTCTTTCTTGGGAAAGCTTTCTGATGTTAATGCCTATAAGGTGGTGGTGAAAGCATCAATTTCATAACTCATCTGGAGCTGGTTCCTTTCGTAGTTTTTATTATCCACCTTAAAAAGTGCATTATTCCTATGGTAGCCACAAAAGCTGAAAGGGAATAAAGGACAGCTGCATGAAAAATACAGGACAAGACTTTTAAGGAACACAGTTTAGTTCACCAAACTGCAGCCAAAAGTGAGTGGGGATCCCTGACCAACTGCAGACTAGAACACCTGTATCTCCTAAGGGCTACTTAAGGTTATGGATGCGGCACTAAAGAAAACAGTGTCCCTTACTTCATCCTGTCTTTATTTCCCTTCTTCTAATTCAGTACAGTTTCTCACAATGGGGTATGGCAAACCTAAATCATTTATTTAATGTTAATTTAAAGGAAATTCTCCTTAAGACTGGGGACCTCCATGCCTCAAAGTGTTGCTTAGTCAGTCCCTTAATTATTTAGATTCAAATAAGGTTGAGGTTTCCACACAGCACTGTTCCAGCTTTATAATAGTTAATAAAAACAACTTAGTAGAGTAATATTAAGCTTTATGCTTTATGGTTTCAGCAAATTTGCTTAAATTTAAAAATACAAATTATTTAGGGGTCAGGAAGTCTGCATGAAGATTATCAATAATCATGGATATTTATTTATTTATTTATTTATTTATTTATTTATTGGGGAGGGCAGAGGAATTCCTCTGAAAAACTTCCTCTAGTGAAGATTGTTGAAGACAAGATACGGAGCAAGTTTGGGTTCTGTCTAGAAATGTCTATGCTCATGTGTAACAACATGAGCTCCCAAAACTGTCCAGAAAGTAAAGAGGAAGAAAGTAAGAATTCTGACCTTTATTAAGATATTTATCTCTAATTTTGCAAGTATTAGTTTGTTCAAAATTTATTTGTAGTTAACACTTGGTACTTGTGCTTTATTTTGCTCAGAGTAATCACTGTTGCTAATGAAACTGTCACAATAGTGAGATGACTTTTGTCAACCACATGAGAGCTAGTCATCCTGCAAGGAGAGAAACAGGCTTTTCTAGGGCAGGAATCATCTCAGCTCTGAACAGACATGCAAAATAAATCAGATTGTACCCCAAAAGTGTTTCTCACTGTTAACACTGAAAGGTGCTAGGAATGACCAGCTCAGAGGGGGGTGTCCACATTTCAGTCAAAGGAACCCATGATGATGTGTTACAGGAGAAGAAGCACCCTCTGGAAGAACCCAAAGGGGAAAAGAGGCTGCTGAGGAAGCCTGGATAATGTGCTTAGATTGGATCCCATTTTTTTTAGAGTATCTAAGGGAGCTGGGCAGAGGTCCATGAGTGTACGAGATGGGCCCTCACAGATGTAAATCTGTATGGCTCCATTAATGCCAGCAGAGCTCCGCTAACTACAAAAGCACAGGATCTGGTGGACAGAAAAGTAAATTTCTACCTGAATGGCAGTAGCAGTTAGGTGATGAGATAATATCTTCCTTTAAGCAGGCCTATGTGATGCATGGGCTTGCCTTGTTCCAGCTATCTACCAGGGACCTGTGGGAAGAAGGGATCAGAGCAACCTTTGAAAAGGGAGAAAGAAGACCAATGTGAATGTGGTGGAAAAAAATGAAAATGGTTGGGTTGTGTGGCACATGCTACCCAGGGCAAAACTCTTCCTGGGGTGTTGGGTTTCTATCATGGAGGCCAACAGAGAACAAACAGAAGGAGCCTACTCTATGGTCAGTGTTGTCAATAGATGCCCTAAAATGATTCCTGTAAGGCAAGATCTTCATCTTCGAATGTTAATTAATAATTGATCTTGTTATGTATGTAGAGAACTCTCTATAATTCAATTCTCTGTATTTATGTCTCATAAATGACTCTGCCTTGTCAGATTTTATGGTGAAATAGTAGATCCAAAATTAACATAATGTAACAACCAAATCGTATATATAGCCTTGATCTGCAAACACTTTTGCCCATGAATAATTTGAGTTATTACTACTGAACTCCCTGGGACTCACATATGCTTTTGCAGAATGAGAGCCGCAGCGTTTATTGAATTACTTTCTTTCATACACTACATGTGTTCAAATGAAACTAATTTATCTGCCACGTATCTAGGCATCTCTCAGCATATATTATGTAATTAATTTTTTTTAAGTGTGGTTCTAATGAATCAGAAGCCTAGACAATGTTTCCAACAGATAGTTAGATAAAACTGAACGTGTTAATGTTATGAGATAGAATCTTACTTTATGTGTGTTAATAGATGTATTGTAGTATTTAGCACGTAGTGTTATTATGTGTTAGCAAAAATGGGTATCTATCCATATAGAGACATATACAGATAGATATGCAGGCATGTAAGATTTCTATCTCTATACATTGCATATACACACATCCTATGCATATGAAAAGACAGACAGCACTTATGTTACTAAATAGAGTAAACCAGCAGTGGTTTGACCAGACATTTCTACCCTGAGAGGCAGTTCTGCTTCCCTGCTCATGCTGGCTGGGGGGTCTGCATGAGCCTGCTGCATCTCCCTGCTGACTGCCCGTGTTGCTCCCCACGAGCCCAAGCCCAGCTGTGAAGAGTTGTGTGCAGGCAAGTGTGGGAAGATGGATAGCTGGTGGGCATCCCCAAGTGAGCCCGACGTGCCGTCATGCTGTGGCCAGCCTCCCTCAGGTGCACCTGTACCAGTTTAACTCCGACCCATCTATCTTTGCTTCCATATAAACAATCGAATTCTATTTCTGGAGTTTAAAGGAGATAATTCAACTCATGGGGACCAGCGCACTGTGTGGCTCTGTGAAGAAGGAAGATTGTAAGATTCTGTTTTAATGCTCGTCCAGTGTCTCAGTGAGGGTGGATGTCACCTGCCTTGTGTCGGGCGGTGTGAATCTGAAGAAACGTTGCACTTGGTAATGACACTGTGCTTACATATTGCTTAGCTGAAAAGAGGGAACGAAGGGAAAGGAAGAACCTGTCAATATCCTGTGAACTGGAAAATACGAAATAAAAAGTCATCTGATATTCTTGTATTTAAATGAAACAATAAGGAAATATACTGAGCTTGCTCTGAGGATTTTGCTTAATGATATACAAATAATCACTGAGATTGCAGTGTTCGAAATGAGTGTGGTTTATGATCTAATGTCTAAAGATCATTAACCAACATCTGCTATTTTCTGGAAACAGTGCTGAAAAAAGCCCCAAATATAAATTCATTCAGTTAAATTGCCCTTTTTATATGCTGTAAGTAATGGGGAGAGAACTACGGGGAAGTCTGGAGGTGCTGCTTGCGTTCAGGTAAGATGAGATTGTTCTCAGTCATTCAGAATTGACCTGGAGAGATTACTTGCTTTCCCTTGTAAAGGAAAAAGTGCTTGTTATGCTTACTTCTTTTATTTTAAATGGTCTTAGGCAGCCATGAAGGCTTTTAGGCAGGACATAGTACATTTGGCCGGAGGGCTGCCGGTGCAGGCTTTAATGCATTACTCGCTGGCCCTAATCTCTGACATGGTGGCTCTCAGGAAGGATGCTTAGTGCTCCCAGGTGGAGCTGATTGCTGATAGCCTTGCTCGGGTGGTGCTGTGCCTTCATTCACAAGCTGTCCTGTTCACATCACAGGGTGGTTCCTCGTGCAAGTCCCAGCTAGCTGTGAGGCAAGCTGTCCAGACTAGGCCTTAGCAGGAGAAAATCTGAGATAAACCGGTGTGTCAGTATCGCTCCCCTCACTTATCTGGTTGTGTTATTTGGCTAGTATTAGTGTAGGAGCTGAGGTAAATCAGATGTCTACTGCTGTGCTTACAGACCAAGCTCATAATATATAAATGCCCTATCTTCCAGCCTCTGCTCATAAGATATCTTTATATTCATGGGCTTTTCCAATGAACTAGTCAGGATGCTTGTAAGAGGAGGGTTTTTTAAGATTGAATCCCTTAAAAAAGATGACTGTAGATAAAAGTGCATCAATGCACATTAGGGATGAAATTTTCAAAGCAAGGACATCCTGTTGAGCTCTGTTTTGCCATTGTTGGCTTATATGTTCTTTCCTTTTTGTGAAATGCAGTACAAACATCTCTGTCAGACGCCTTTTATTTTGGGGTTGATCTGAATTTAAGGTCAATAGCTTAAAAATGGGATTGAATTAAGCTGATAAAATTATGCTAAGGGAGCTGTTTCAATGATTTTTTTTTTATTATTATTATTTAATATATATATATATTTAAAGAAACAACCTACAGGACTGCATTTACATTGGTATAGTGGCAAACAGTTACTATTGCTGAACATATTTCTACAAACATGTTTAAAGGGTAGGATACGACATGTGTATCTTTACCCCCCATAAATGAAATGAGTTCATGTAAAACTCTGTAAAGTAATATGGGGTAGCTGATTCCTCAGTGAAACAGTGAAATATTTTAGTTTATTTTTGCTCTGGAGCAAGAACTACAAAATGGGCTGGTACCATGGCCACCAATGCACAACTAATTCTTACCTTAACTTTTTCTAGTGAGGTCTATATATGTCTCCTCTCCCTGCATGATCACCAATCATTTAAGATTATCATCTAGGAGTAGGTGTTTTTAACACTTTTGTGGAGATAGTGATAACATGTAAGCATGAGTTGGTGGAGCTCAGCAGCATTTAGTTGCATTTTTCAGTTTGTGGTTTTGACATGTTTCCTTGCAAGCAGCATAACATTTCAGTGTATTTCAGTTCTGTAAAATGAGGTAAAATTATTATTGTCCACCATACAAACTAAATGCAGGCATGAGTCTGTTGGTTTTAAGAAGCTCCTGAAGCTCCTGACAATGACGCCGTAGATGGGGAGAACTATTTATTACTAATATTTATTAAAGAGAATCCTTTTAAAGGGAATAATTTTCTAAGCCTCCCTTCCTCCATTCCTTCCTTTTCCTTCCTTTTTCTTCCTTCCTTTCCTGAAATTTAAGAAGAAGAATATAGGTAAAAACCAATGCTTTAATTTTATTAAGACAAACTTGTAATTTATCAGCCCTTGGAACCAAATGCTTCCCTTCAGATATAGTAGATGTCCCTGCATACATCAGGCTGGCCTCAGGTGTCATTTTCTTATAGGCAATTGAGAAATCTGCCTTCTTTTCCCTGTGATTCAGGATCCTGCAATCTAAAGAGAAAAAGGGTTTTCAGAAAGAGAAATGACAGTTCCTGTAAGTTTATGTTAACATTATCACAATGACTGAAAAGGTCAGGAAATCTGAGATTGTCTGTAGTTGTACAGGCTGTAATGTTGGCTGAGGTAAGTTAACAGGCCTATGAAAGGCATTGGATTTGTGCTGAGTTAGCACATACAGCCCTGGAGCTATATATTTAGCCATTCTTGGTTAATTAATACACTAAAAATTTCATTTTTATGTATCTGCACATATACTGCTGGGAAAATAACAACTGTCTTAGATGGACAGAAAGGGTCAGCTGAATGTGCCCAGACTGCATACCCAGACCATCCTTTTTCTCCATAAATCTTTTGTCCTTCCCAAAGAGTAGCTTCTTTAATTGGCCATTGTCCTTCTAGCTGAGCAGGGCTAGATGAATTTCTCCATTAGAGGACTACAGAGCTATGCATTATGAGCTGGAATTTCAAAAACTTGGTGTGCAGGAACAGGAAAAAGTGCTACAATAAATGTGCTTTTAACCTATTTAAATAACTTCTGTTGCTAGTTACTGCACCATAGCATGAATCAAAATTGTTTTTTACTAACAAGCATTTGGACAAACAGTTTCAAATTTGTAGATTACATTGGAAACCACTCCTTGATTAATTTTTTTTCCTGAATTGTTTTTTGAATCCACCTATAAGTCACTGATGCCATAAGCAAAATGTTTTGTTATTGTATTAACAGGAGAAAAGTGCCCTTGGCCCGTGGTCACATTGGCCAAGATTTTATGGCAGAATTTTAAATCCCCTAACCACAGGAATTTATAAATTGAAATACAGATGCAACCTTGAAATGTACAGTTTCAGCATTGTTGGCTGTGATAAATATGAGCCATAAAGTAAACCTGTGCTCTGAACCAGATTGGATCAAGCATCATCGCTGAAGCTCCTTTGCCATTTTCCTGCATTTCTCTTCTCAGTATCTGGTTCTGCAGATCACTTTTCCCCATTTCAAGGTTGTATTTTTTTCTATGCCTGGGGTAAAGGAATTGTCACATCCCAAGGGGGATCTTTGTTTTATTTTTTAATCTATCTTGCTGTAGCTTTATTTCTCCAGCAAGTGGTTTCAGTAATCCATACTGATGAGTTGTCTGCTCTCCAGGTAGGGTTGACAGGTAGATTTATGAACCAAGAGAAGATAATCTGCTTCCACAAGGGGTCACTGGTACCAGCGCACATAGCAACTAGTTTCTGCCATGCTTCTGTAAAGGGCAGGTTTAGACAAGCCTCTCGTCAAAAGGAGGAAAAAAAAAAAAAAAAAAAAAGAATTCTTACTCGTTAAGATACCTGCAAAGAAAAGGAGCAAAGAAGATAAATGAGAATACTTTTCAGAACTTCTTTCCTTTCAGTAGTCAGGTAGTCAGGTGTCAGAAGTCCTTTGTGCCATCCCTGCCTGAGATGAGGCTTTGTCATTCTCTGCTGACATGGGATGTTCGGGTGACGTTTTGTGTCTGTGTTTTAAAGGCCATGAGGATTGCTAGAGCTATGGAAAACATAAAAGGGAAACATTAATTCATCTGTAAAGCAGAATATGTACAAGTAATTAATATAATTTCTCCTGAAATCTGTATGCCTGCCTGCTTATTGTTACAAGAGGTTGCTACCAGTTGTAATTTTAGGATGCTTCTCTCCTGCTTTTTGTGTGTGCAGGCAGCCAAAGGTTTCTGGTGTCAGGGGACAAATCTCCCCTTTAATTTGTCAGTCTGCCCGAAAATCACCTTTGGAGAGAGGCGACTCCATTAACATGAATTAATGGAGCCCTTTCTGTAGGCAGGGCTCTGCAGAGAGTGCTGGTGTTTGTAATAATCAGTACATTTCACGAGCGTGTTACTCCTGTATTCCTAGAGCTTTATTTCAGAGCTGATCATCTCAGGGTGTATGTAGCTCCCCAGCACACTTAAAAATACCTCCAGGTTTTTGTCTTGTTTTGGCATCCTGTCTGTGTGCAGCTCATCGTCCCCCAGGAAAAACAGAGGAAAGCTTTTCTCTGCTATCTGGTGATAATTTTCTAAAGGTCAATGTTGTCATCCCTTTTACAGAAAATCTTACCTGTCAACTGCTGCCCAAAATGGCTAGAAGATATTTCTTTGTATTTCACTTTTCATGTGCAGCTTGGTCTGAGCTGTTTTGCATTCACACGTGCTTCATGCTAATGTTTTTAAACAATGTACTGCCTTTAAAATAATTTTCAATCTCACTCCTTCCCTGTTCATTCGCACCAATTCCAAAATCCCAGGAATGTGTGGCACAAATTCCTGACAAGATACTTTAAATTACTTACATAGATATTTTTTTTTTTGAATCTTTTTTGTTCTTTTTCCTGCAAGAAGAACAAATTTAAGATTCATGTGAGGTGAAGAGACTGTAGCTCCCAAAGACATTGTTTCATCTCTTAGCATTTAGAGGTCACTGTTAGAACTGGCCAGTGTGCGGGAATGAGTTTCTCATCAGAGAAAATCCTCATTGTCTTCAGTTGTAACATAGATTCACTAGACTCCAGAAGGACACTGTCTCTGCATCCCAATCAGTGCTGTCCAGTGAAGGGAAAGGTTTTGAACTGTGCCACATAATCAGAGCTGCCTGGTCCTCTTGGCCAGCATGGAGCTGCATTCACCTCTGCATTTGGTAGAAAAGGATGTTCACCTCAGAGACAAAGAAAAGGACATGGAAAAACATAGCAGTTGCCATGCAATTTCTACCAGGAAAAGATCTGTCTAATCCAGGATGGACTTTTCTGCTCACAACCTGCAATTAAATGCCTGTACCGGGAACCCTGGCTGATTTGTGCTGAGGTGCTCACTGGAGATATGTGATGGCAAATGGCAGGTTGCAGACTTCAGCGCTTATTTTGCCATGTTTTCCCTTGAGTTCCCAAAGCTTGAGACTACCTGCTGTTATTGTGGCAGGGGTAGTTGTTACTGCTTCCTCACAAAAGTCTTCAACAACTGAAATCAGTAATTTCACCCCACTACAATTTCTTTTGGTTCTCTTTTAATTAGCATTTGTGGGATACGAATACAGCTTCTTGTTCAGCTTTAATCACGTGCCATTGTTTGGGCTGGAAGAAGGAACAAAATTAAAAATAAAAAAAAAAAGGAACATTTTAATTTGGATTAAACAAACATTTATCTCCTTGAACTGGTCAGAGAGAAATTAATTGTTTTATTCTTCTGATCTACTAATTACATGTACAGGGAAGCCCATGTAAGCTTTTTCTGCATGCTCTATCATTAAAGAATGGATTACGTCTGAATTAAATTACTGTATTTCCATCAAAGGTCTCTATGGGTCAGGATAGTTGGCAAGATTTATAGGCTAAAAGGAAGGAGGTCAATGGATGTCAGTGGTTAAGAAATATATTGTTCTGCTGAGGGAGTTATCCTTTCCTGAGAGTCTGAATTGCTCTTTTTCTCATTCTTAGCATCTCTTCACACCCTGGAACTGTGTGGACATTAATTCTAAACTACTGTAGTTCCTTGTCAGTCCTTACCCTTTCAACCACCAAGAAACATTGTGTCAAGAGCATGCTTTCCAAGTCCCTCACTCAGACAAGGAAGCATAAGAGACCATGATGGCAATGCTTAATTTTCCAGGACGAGATCTGTTCTTAATCCTGCTTTGTTGAGTGTGGTGGGGCTTTGTGTTTGCTCCCAGTGACTACAGACACAATTGCTTTCTCACTGCAATAACTGTAATAACTGTCTTCTGTCTCCTCCTCTGGCTATGTCGAAAAGTAGATGAGAGTGGAAAAGTGAGAAAAAAATTGACAAAAAAATTGTTTCTTGAAGGTGAGGTTCATGGGCAGGAAAGACAGTAGATGTCACCTTTGGGTCAACAGCACAGAATAGTGATTTAGGACGGAGGGAACAACTCTATTATTGTTTCTAAGAGTGACAGAAAGACAACTTAGGACATCCAGTTGTTTTTCTACCCTATCATAAGAGGCCTTCTTCCAAATTTTGATTTCATAATTAGAAAATATGTATAATTATGACACAATCTGAAAAGCTGCAGTAAACACAGAAAATTGCAGGTGTCAAATTACCTTATTCCCCTTTTCCAGGTAGAGAAAATTGATCTGTGCAAGAGAGAAAAAATTGCAGACACATGAAATGTAAATGGCCACTTAACAAAAATTAAATACATAAATACCTAAATTTCTGCTGATTTCTAATCAACTGCTTGTTTAGGCAGCATACAAAGGAAAAGCAGGAAATCGTAAGCACCATTTGAGACTTGCTTCTCTAAGCCATATTAGTTGCATTATTACCATAATTAACACATTCTCTAATACAAGCAAATACACCAGAGATTGCCCAAGGCTCTGGGCTTTGGGACAAATGACTGCTCTGTCTGAGAGCAGCAAACAGGCACAGGTTTCTCTCGCCGTCTCTGGGGCGCCAGCATTCCCAGGGATTGGGAGAGATGCTCTGGCAGGTCTGGAGTGGAGCCAAGGTTTGGGGAGAGAAAGCCACACATCCTTCCTGCTGTGCAGCCCTGACCTCTCGTCAGTCCTGGAGATGCAGAACTGGTCTCTGTGTCAGCAACACAGACAAACCAGTCACCTAAAGGGACATAATAATAATAGCGAATAATAATAACGTACATCAAGCAAGCAGACAAATTTGACTTGACCAAAACAGCACTTCTTCAGGAGGACCCACCAGTCTCTCCTCTCCCCACCTACACATGCAGTTTGCCCTTGAGACTCACCGATTTTCCAGCCTGGCGGTTGCATGGAGGAAATCACAGGGAGGCTTTGGTGCCTCGCACGGTTCTATCAGATTTTATTGAATAGTTATTTACAGAGAGAGTGAATGAGTGAGTAGCTGCCAGACAATTTGTAATGTGTGTTGCTGTAAAGCAGAAGATAAGCCAGCATTTCCTATCATAATCTACTCACTCAGGCATGTGCAATCTTGCCCTGATTTTTCCTGGTGCATGAAGCACTTTGTGGGAGAGGATGGAGAGGTGGCTACGAACACTCTCCTGACCTTGAATTTGCAGCTATATGTTTACTTAAACTTACATTCCTCTCCAAAGGCTGTTTTTCTGTGTGAGCACTTGCTGCAGCAGCGAGGGGGAGGCAGGAAGCTACGTGACTGTGAAGGGAAGAAGTGGACCGTGAAAGTTTTTCTGTTATTATGTTGTCCACATCTCTGGGAATCCTGCTGATGGGAAATCTCTCTGGAGCCCAGATGTCAGCCTTCCCAGGCTCAGCCTCACTCTACTTTCTGGAGAAGGGGAAAAATGAAGGAATTTTTGTAGGATCACAGGAACTGACACATAATTTGGGGGTGCATTAGTTCTCTCTTGACCATAAAAGTGTCTGGGAAAGGGGGTGAAGTAAGTCAGAAAAGAACTAAGAAATTTCCTGTAAGAGTTCATAGAGTTCATGCTAGACACAGGAAACATGAGGTCTTATATATTCCTATTTCAAAATTTGTTATAAACATAGAATCTTCACAGTCATGTTGTCTAATATATAAAAATCACAGGAAGGTTGAAGGTAAACACCTCTGGAGACATCGGGTCCAGCCCTTCTCCTCAAAGCAGAGTTAACCAGAAAAGGTTGTTCAGGGCTGTGTCCCATCAGGTTTTGAATATCTCCAAGGATGGAGATGCCACAGCTTCTCTAGGCAACCATGTCAGTGTTCAACGACCCTAACAGTAAAAAAGTGTGGGCTTGTTGTTTTTTGTTTGTTTTTATGTTGAGATAGAATTCCCTGCATTTCAGGCTGTGCTCACTGCCTCTTGTCCTGTTCCTGGGTATCACTGAGAAGAGCCTGGCTCCATTTTCTTTACCTGCCTCAGGTATTTATCCACATGGATAAGATACCCTGAGCTTTCTCCTGTCCAGGTAGAAAAGTCCCACCTCTTTCACCCTCTCCTCATACCAAAGATGCTCCAGTCCCTTAATCATCTTTGTGGCCCCTTGGACTTCTTCCAGTAAGACGTATCTATCTAAAGCTTTTTTGAATCTTTTAATCTTAATTCTGAGAGACCAGAGGTTTATATCGATCTGTCTGTAGAAGTTTTCCAAGTTCAAAAACTCATGGAATAATTGATGTGGAAAGGCTAACAACTAATTTAGTTGAGGCCCCCTAGGCCTTTGTCCCACTGAGTTTTGATACTTTCTAAGTATGGCAATACTGCAGCCGCTCTGGGCCCTTGTGCCACTGCTGCATCACTCTCATTAGAGAGAAATCATTTTGTGTGTTCAGTTGGAATTTCCAGTGGCAAATCTTGTGATTGATGACTCTTTCACCACACACCCCAAGAAGAGAGTCTGGCTTCACTCTTGCTCCAGTCCATCTCCTTCAACCACTTGTGTGCCATGTTTACTGGGTAATGGTCTCCACTGGGCTCACTCCAGTTTCCAATTGTCTTTCTTGTACTGGGAGGCAAAAGGCTGTCCACGTCATTCTAAACATGGTCTCATGAGGGCTGTATGGAGGGGAAAAATCACCTTGGTCTGAAAACTGAGCCACTTAATGCTGAGCCATATATGCCAATGTATGCTGGCACTTCCACCGTGTCCTCCAGTATGTATTACTTGGCATTTACTAGCATTGACATTTCTGTTTTTATTGTGTTACCTTAGTTTAGGTCTCTCTTAAGCTCTTCACAAGCTTCTCAGATGATAAATGTAAGTTATGTGCCACTTTCATTATCTTACAGTCCTCATCTTACACATGCTTTCCTGTTCTGTAATATATTTTTGGAATGCTATAAGAGAAGAGGAAATCTCAAAGAACTGTAAACTGTTTTTGTTCAAAGATGGAAACTAATGATTAAACAAGGTTCCTGTATCCTGTCTCCTGCCCATTTTTCATCTATGACACTATGCTTCACTCAGCTATGGCTGATTAGTTTCTTTATTAGATTTTTTTTGTGTGTGTATGGCAACTCATCAGAGACCCGTTGGGGGTTTTCTGCTGCATTATTGTAGGGTGTCAGTCAGAGACAAGGAAACGATGTAGGTAGGTGCTGCACAGAGAAGGGAAAGTGGGTATCCACCTGAAAGACCTTACAAGGAGCTCATATTAGACTAAAATTTGTGGGATGGAATACCTCAACTTGTTCTTGGTTGCTTTAGGCAGAGGCTTCGATTGGTGTTTCTGGAAGTTTCTGATGTCACGGCATCTCCTTCTTTATACAATTACCCTTAGCAGAAAGATCCCACAAACAGCCACTGGAGCCCACCTGCAGCATAACCATTGGCAAGACTCTTATTTGATGAATAGGTACTTCTGAAGAGAGTGTTGAGGGGCTGCAAAAAAGCGGTATTGCAATTTTGCAGAGGCTTTCTCACAAATGTGGCGATGAGGCTCAGAAACACTACACAGACACCTCATTGAAAAGCTGGCAAGCGATCAGTGGCAGCAGGGACTATGGCCTATCTGGGTGTGCGAGTTGACCTTTTGATCTGAATGAAATGAGCAGTAAGGTGGAAGAGTCCTTGAAAGTGAAGACCGGTTGCTTGTTTGGTGTAACAGGGAAAAGGAGCTTGAAGATGAACAAAAAGACAGCAGAGTGTGAGACGAGGGAATGATGCCTGCAGCAGCATTGTGGATCAATACACCATCAGGACAAGACTGAGTTTGTCAGTGGCCAGGAAAAGGATGTCGCAGTAATTGAGACATGAGGTGATGAGAGCCCAGATAAGAATTTAAAAGCGTGCCTGAGAGTGAGAGGTGCTCCTGAGAGATGATAATTGGAAGGAATCTGCAAAATCCTGGTTATGTCCACAGGGCAGGCAGGGCTTGGAGTGTATCTCGGGTGGGTCAGCCTGAAGTAGGCTCACTCCAGACAGCTCAGCCATCAGAAGCAGCAAAGCACAGCTTTGATGTGGGCTAGATATGCTCAAATGGGCTATTAGAGTTCAGATACTGACACCTCTGGATTTCACTTTTTCACTTCCTTGCTTGTGCTCTCTAGCTCTAACTCTTTGAGGGGAGGAGATTCTTAAGCTCTGGGAAATTGTTCCTTTCTATTTTATTTTATTTTATTTTATTTTATTTTATTTTATTTTATTTTATTTTATTTTATTTTATTTTATTTTATTTTATTTTATTTTATTTTATTTTATTTTATTTTATTTTATTTTTTTATTATTTGGGCCCTTTGGCCTATGTGCACGTGGATAGTTTGCTTCCAATGCCTATGGTTTGGCAGTTACTCACATCTCATTCAGTTTGCTGCACCTTCCTTTTCTCTCTCTTGTTACTGAAGTCACTGGCATGGCATTTGTAAATACTGAAGAAAACTGAAAGAAATGAGGGATGTTCTCAAATCCTAGAATAAAACAGAATTTGGCTTGTTGACCTGTTGGCCTGTTGACCAATTTGGCCTGTTTGGCCTGTTGAACTGCGTGCAGGAATTTAAGAAGCAAAACCCAAACAACCTCATCTCCCCAAGGCAAACAATAAAATCAACTAAAATCCTTGCCAAAGGTGGAAAAACTGATCACAGTGCTACAGGACATGAATCTGGGAGGTGGGGGGAAGCTGTACAGTATAACACAGCCACTCTTTCCGAGTAGATGCTCACTCTAATTGAGCTCCAAGTATTCTTTCCAAGTCACTTATCTCATTAAAATTTGTCACACACCCTTGCCTGAGGCCCACTCCTTGCTTTTTTGTATGAGTGGCACAGCGCTTTGTGGGGAGGCACAAACCTGCTCGCATGTGACGAGGAAGTTCTGCAAGTGTCTTGAAATCAAGTGACTTCAAGGTGCAGCAGGGCTGAGCTTTAACCACCATGCCAGCTGAAAAAGCAGAGATTTGTGATCCCTCCTCTAAGAGGGAAAAAGCTGCACCTGTTAAGGAGCAAGTTCTACCTTGCAGCATAAATACAGCCACTGGGTTAATACTTGTTTTTATTTGCAGCAGAATAGGAATGAGTCTGGTTTACATTCTTTTGCACATACGTGACACACTTGCTGAACATGAGGACTTTTATGAAGGTAGAATCTTTAGAAATGTAAAACAGTGGATTACTCAGAGGAAAAAATCACCAGCCTGCTAGTTTAGAAATTCATAATTACATCTGCCATGAATTATTTTTCACAGAAGTCTGAAAACTCTGATTTAACCTTGCTTACTTTAAGTACAGTTTCTATGGAGCCTTAATAAACTTGTGCTCTAATACCTTTCAGAGGTGAGCAAGTAGACAAAATCAGTGGGAGCGGAGGGATGCAGCAGTGTGAGAAACTGTTGCCCTTGACATTTAAACTTGAATTAATCTGATGTGACACTAGTAACATTTGTTGGTGACTTAGGGAGAAGATGTTTGCAGTGGTGGGTGTGATCGCAGATGTCCTCTGGTTTTAAGGCTAGTGCCTTGGATGAACCAGTTTCCCTGATTTCATGTTGCTGACAGATAAGTCCTGGTAACGGAGAGTTTGTTAGGCTGTGTTTCAGTTCACTGCAGGTGATGCAGCATGTGTTTTGTGTTACCGCTCAGCAACATGTTAAAATCTTGTGTAGGGCCATTCTGTGTGATAGGAGAGGGTAACTGCAACCCTTGGCTGTTCACTTCTTTAGCCATGATATGTGTCTGTGATACAGGTATATGTCAGTAAAAAAACAGAGGCCACCAAATAGCCATCAAATAGATTTTCTCATTAATATTTACAAGAGTGTTTGTCCTGTAAGAAATACACCATTAAAACTATTTCTAATCCTTGACCTGTTCAGTTTTAAGTGATAATATACATGTATTATAACGAGATTCCCATGTAGCCAATGCAGGGCTTTCTGCTTTGATAGCAAGGAGACACCCTACCCCAACCCACCCCCAGCTCTTCAGGTGTAGTCTTTCAGGGGGGAGGTGCCAGGGGCTTCTACTTCAAGATATTGTTTCTACATTTCTTTTTACATTTCTTCTTTACCCTGCAGCTCTGAAACCTTTGCAATAGACTTGGACTTCACTTCCAACCTTGACATTTTCATTTTTTAAAGCTAAGACTCAGCAGCATTTGGTTTTGCCCTAAGTCTTAACAGGGAAAAAAAATCCCAAACCAAATGCAGGACGAAGTCTGATGAATTCTTTGCTATATATCGTTCCAAATATGAGAGTCAGATGTCACCAACTGGGATTATTTGTCTTGAAAACACTGGCAGTTTTACATGTCAGGGAAAAATTAAATTTCATTCTGTTAGCCTTGTCCTGTGCCATTCCATTTAGCTTCAAGTTTGAGCAACCTAGAATCATTCTTTGATTCTGTGAAAAGCAAGTGTATGTACTTGGCCTGCACATGCACTCGTTTGGGTGACTGGAATAAGTTATTTATTTGCTCTGCTACTCTTGGCAAAATGAATGCTTATTGTATTGATTTTGATATTTTTATTTTATTTTATTTTATTTTATTTTATTTTATTTTATTTTATTTTATTTTATTTTATTTTATTTTATTTTA